CGCTTTCACAAGTTCAGGAGCCCGATCACTGTAAAACACGTTCACGGTTTCCCCGGTGCGGACAAAGTGCTTGAATGCCATCACACACTGATGAGAGGTTTTCCGTGCTGCTGGGTAAACATAACGGAAGTCAGTGGCAACATCTCGAACAACAAGTGCAACTCTAGATTGGTCAATGCCGATTTCACGATCATCTGATGTAATAAGATGGTCCGCCGTGAGGTGATCACCAAACTTCTTGGCCTCGACTTGAGTGGAACCTCCCTTCTGTCTTGATGGATATTTGTACATCTTCGCCCTGTTGCAAGTCTCACAAAAGGGGTTTTTGGGAGTGTGACACATCAAGTGCTGGAGTGAGGTCGCCTCATCACGCAAAGCTGCTTCACCGCGTTCGCGAGGGGCGTCCTTCAAAATAGGCTTCGACACAAAATCGGAAGCGATGACCTTAGGCGCATCTTCGGAGGGAATGTCATGGCACTCTTCAATGACCTCACCTTCCGGTTGGCTAATGGTGTCCTCAAGCAAGAAATCATCGTTCCCCAATTCATCCCCATCATCCTCATTGGTCACAAGCACCTCTTCAACAGCTTCGGGTTCCTCGTCAATGACCAGAACTTCATCATCGATTTCAATGGGAGCTGATGGTAATGATGTAACCTTTGGAATGCTCTGTGACAAAGCTGGAACAGCATCTTGAGTTGCTGGGGGAATGAATGGGACATTGTCTTTGACCTCGAGCTTGATGCGTGAACCATCCGGAAGTCGAAAATAAGGCCTGCTGTGGGCTCTCCAAACGAAATCATATCCGTCCCTGAGGCATCTCATACCCACGGATAACACGGATGGAGCCTTGTCAAGAACATATGGCCGAACAACACTATCGGTCTGTTGGATCTTGACCCTGGCCTGCTTGGTACCAATGATATTCCCATTAGCCGTGGAAAATTTCAGAGGCTGAGACGATTCGTAAATACATCCCATCTCCGCATCGGTCCCCGATAGCAAGTCCTGAGAAGCTCCTGTATCTGCAATCCACGGAATGTGAGAAGAATCCATTGTCATTCGAGCAACAGCGGCTTTCCCCTTTTTGGGGGAGGTCACGGACTTCTCTGGCTCGGCCGTTAGGCCTGCGGGGATGCAGGACTCACCACCGAAATCAGAGTCGCATTGAAATTTGCAAGAAGTCTTCGTGCCTTTGAGCAAATCCTTCGTCATAGCTTCATGCATGGTGCCGATAAGAATTGCGTCATAGACGGCTCTCTCATCGTACTTCGGAACATAATCAACAGGAAACTCGTGTGCAAACCTTCTTGACGAGGCAGTGTAGGGCCAAAGCTCGCCGTCAGTCTCATAGTTCGAAATGGATGGGTAATCAGAAAATTGCACGCATTTCTTGATGCATGGCATACACTGGAAAACATCGTGAGTCACACTAGGCAAGCAAGGATGCGAGGCGACCGAGTCGAGGGTCGCGGCGCACACAATCGCCTGAAGGAGGCACACCGCAGCATTGCTGCCTTTTGACGATCCCGGAGACTTGAGGGACTGAGAACCCTTTGAATCTTTCGAATCTTGAGAAGAAGGCCTGCTATCCTTCTTCCCCTTTTTCTTTTTCTTGTCCCTCGGCGACGTCTTGGGGGTGTCTCCACTAGCGGTCTTCTCGGCCTTTGGGGCTGGAGCTGCCTTGGAAGTTGCGGGGTGCTGCCATGGGCAATCTTTCCCCCTCTCACATCTGTTCGCTTTGAAGAACTTGCACACCTGGGGCTTCGAACCAGGAGGACTCTGCGAACGATACTTCCTTGGCGTCTGGGGTCTGGACCCGCCCTTCTTGCCTTTCCCCTTACCTTTCGGTGCCTTAACATGTTCGAATCGGCAGTCTGAACCATAGGTGCACTGGCCAGTTTGAAATTTGATGCATACACCCTTGGGGATTCCAGGAACTGCAGGGTTGTTCGATGGAGTCCTGCCACGCCCCGTTGTGTTGCTTGACATAGCATCCCGCATGTGAACAAGCCTCTTGCGCTCCAAATAATTCCTCGATGCGTCAATCAAGAATTTATAGGAGTGCTTTTCCGTACCTTCCTCAGCTCGCTCATACTCATTGAGATCATGACTGAGGGGCCGAAACTTTCGAATCTGGCGGTGGAACAGCGCTTCGAGGGTCTTCTCATTTTGCTCATTGCCCATTCCAGCGATGACCGTGTCCCATCTCGTCATGAAATTTCTGAGGTCCTCGTTGATGAGCTGGACAGAGAGCAAGTCCTCAAAGTCGTAAATTGCACCATGTTTGATGTTCGTGCTGAAGTGCTTGTGAACCATCAGAAGAATTTGGCGCCCCCTCGCATAGCGTTTCTCCTTTGCTTCTTGTTCTTTGAAAATGTCCACTTGCCGCGCGAGGTCGCCCTCCAAGATATTCGTCAACGCCGATGCCAGCTTTGCATCAAGATGGACAAACATTCCTGAATCACGAAGGACTTCAACAGTTTGACCTGGGATCCAAGTTGCCTCAATCCATTCGAATGCCTTTTCGGGTTGATCGGAAGTAGCAACAACAGCATCCCTAACTTTGATCCTCCAATTACGGTACTGTTCGGGCTTCGGGAATCGGGGAATCTGAATTCTGTCACCCTCCTTTACACGAACGCGTTCCGCTGTCGGATCGCTCGAATTACCTAGGTGCTTCAGTAGCTTTCGTCGAAAGGATTCATCCGATGCAGTCGAAGTTGATGACGAAGATGACGAGGGAGAAGATGACGGATCTCGTCGCCGGCGTCGGCTACGGTCCTTCTTCTTTTTCTTCTTCTTCTTCTTTTTCTTGTCCTTGTCATTTCCACCATCACCATCATCGCAAGGCCAACCGTCTCCGGTAGCAGCATCGTCCACGGCCCCGGCGGGAACAGATCCGTCTTTGCCGTAGGGGTCGCTCCCGACTTTCGTCCAACTGTGCGAGGAAGCATTCGAAAGTCCGGGTGGAGATGCAGCCAAAGGAACTGTCGGGATAGCCAAGGGGGTAGCTGGTGCCTGCTGAACCGGAGGCGCAGGAGCTGGAGCAGGTTGAGCAGGCGGTTGCTGTTGGTTCTGCATCATCTGCTCGACCATAGCCCTTAGCTCTCTGATCTGCTTCTCCTGCTCGCTGATCGTGTTCATGGCGTTTTGGTACTTCATCTCGGCTTCTCTTTCTGACTTCATGGTGTTCGCACGCTGCTCCGCATTCATCTGAATCTCGCGTCTCATGGTCTCCGACTGGCTTTGGAGACCGGCAATGATCTCACCATGCCTTGCCTCCGCCAGCTGGGCGACCATGGGACCGGTGTCCTGATTCACGAACTGGTTGAATTGGGCATTGTTCTGGGTAGCGTTGATCTGCTGATAATTCGTCACGTCCTGGTTGATCGTCATTGATGGATCGAGGTGGACGTTCGCAACATGTTGGTTGAACTGATTCATGGACTGTGGCATAGGGTTTCCCCTTGCGAGGTCGGTCTGGGGGTCGTACATGACGATGTCACCATGCCGATGCCGATCTGATCCTACAGGAGAAGGAGATCGAGCACCAGACCGCCCAGCCCTCCCACGGTCACTCCGGGATCGAAGTGATTCGGGGCCCTGACTGCTCAGTGCTTGTCCCTTCCTGATGAGCTCCCTGGCCACTTGGGAGTTTGCTCGACTAGTCGGTTCATATTGCGAGGCGTCCTCATCGCCTGCTGGCTCACCAGGTGTGGGACGCACCTCGGTATGGGGTAGTCCAGGGTCGCCATCCATGGCGTACAACTCTGTACAAAGAGCCGCTTACGGCTGATAACCTATAGAACAGGTTAAACAACCGGGAAGGGTCACAATTGAACCCTGTACTCAGCGCGCTTTTTCCTTGAGCCACGTGCAGTCGTAATGATGAGACTGCACAAGTGAGACATGCATGCATTGGGGTTTACATGGTTGATAAATACATCACGTTGCAAACTACAGTATGGATGTGCCATCAAAATGAATGCTTGGGCCCCTCGAACGGACCTCATGGACATCCAACTCACAAAACCACTTGAGTCTGTCTCTTATGGGGAACCAGCCACTTTGAGGGTGGTTCAAAGGTAAACAAAACGGAAATCGGCCACTTTGAGGGTTTGTTTTGATTGAGACACACCAATTTGATAAAGGGTACCTACTCCTATCTTGTTGGTTTACTGTCAGTAGCAGCTAGGGCCACATTTCAAGGCTTGGCTCACGTCCCACTGACTTCACGAATGTCTCAAGTTGAATCCTGCCACGGTCTGAGGGGAGAAATTGCATCAGAAGTAAAGGGTCCCTGCCCATAAGCAAACGGCGAGTAGCTTGAGCTCGGACTCCCCTTAAATTTGTAATCGCCCTTGTCAATGTGAGCATGGTTTTCACTCGTTCCTCCAGCGCACCCAAGTTCAACCCGACTTTACTGGTCACATGCCAAGGGCGAACGAAGTCAACTGCAACAAGCATGTCCGAAAGCAGCTACTCATAAGTACATGTTGGCGGATCAACGGCATGATCCAATCATGACTAAAAAGTGCCACATAGTCTTAGTGGCTAAATACACATCACTGCTGCGACGGCCTGTACTTGTCATCCGTACAAGTTGTCCAACAGGCAGCTCAGACAGAACAAAAAATAAACTTGAAAAAAAGGAAGCAAGCGAACCAGCACAACTCTCCTGGACTGCCATTTTGGGCGGCACGTTATGCGATGGATACAAAAGCCCCAATTTGCTCTTGCAAGTTCGGGAAGTGCAGCGGCACACCCTGCAGCGGCAGCATATCCAGCTGCAAGCCAAAAGGCTATCCACTCGAAATCAATGTGGCTGTGGGTCAAAAACAGGTACCCAAAATGGAACCCTGGTAAGTGGAACCTGCACTAAAACCTGCAAGTTCAAGGTGGTTTAATTTTGACCCATACCCAAACCTTCCGGGCCGCCGAGTGGACAAAGGGGTTCAAGGAACACTGAAAACCCGCCGGAATCCTGAGCGCATCACAAGGTTCCGCCGCGAAGAAATCCGAGCGGGATGTACCACGCTGAAAGCGGCTGCAGATGCAGGCTGGAACGACACCTAGAGATCTGTCCTTCTTTGGAGTTGGTACCCTGGTACGCCTGGTACCCCTCGTTTGTCTGTTTTTAAACGGAAACCACAAGGAAAAAGAGGAGGGGGCCCCTACAAAAAGATACGCCCACATGAACCCTTCCACTCGGATTTCCCGCTGACCATCGGACCAAGGATGTCGTTCATGGGGCTTCCCTTCGGAAGACTGGAGTCGACGCAACAATGGTCACGCAAACAAGTGGCAGACGCCCATCCCATAGAGCCTGAAACGGGTGTGTGTGTGTGTGTGTGTGTGTGTGTGGACTTGCCTAGCTGTTTGCCTGCCTGATTGCAAACGCACAAGAACGTGATGATGTCTGCATAATTCAAATTCTACCGCTGTTTTCACTCCACACCCTCGCACTCCCAAAGACAAACTCGGTCCATTTATATGACATCCTCGAAATGACACTCTAGTAAGTGGCTTAAAGAGGTTCCCAGCCGAAAGTCACTTGGAACCCTCCTCATACGTGTCCAAAACATGACCCAACTAATCCATTGTTAGTGGGGAAGCATGAACCACCATGAAACAAAACGGGAAACCGAACCGCATCTGCACAAATCATACTCTACCCTAAAACATACCACATGATTTGCTTGGATCCCGTTGCCTTTTGAAACCCTTTCCCAAGAAGGGGCAGTCAAACACTTCACGCAAAGGCTGCCACAAATGTGCATCCCAAGTGCAGTCAACAGGTCGGCAATCGTCCTGACATACGCAGTGAGTATGTTCCGTCAATATTAAAAAGTGTCCTTTGTTTGGGGGGATGAAGGAACACCACCATTTTGCGGGTCCCCTAAAAAGACACCCATATGTGGCCGCTTGAAATCTTAGGAATGACCGGCATTGCCAGTGGAGAACACAAAATTTCCCATCTGCACAAACAAAACCCGAGAGAAGACCCGAGTTCTTCGCGCGTTGGCGTGGGTCCACGGGAAACGGCTTCTTCCGAAGGCAAACCTGGCTGCAATTCATCAAGTGGCGCGCTCAGGCCGCATTGCCGAACTCAAACTCCGGCCGTGGCAACGCACAAGCGCGGCAATCTTGTCAACTGCATCCGTTCAACCTATGCCCGGTCTGGAAAAATCATTCCAAAGCCTGTTGAGAATAGACCTTGGGACAGTTCATCGCACCTGAAAATCAGTTCATCTGCGCAGCGAATGAGGGTCAACCGCCGAGAATTCCGTTGATCCGGGCACCTGACTGCCCTGTTTCTCCAGCGCCGCGCACTTGTCCTACCAGTGGATCACATCACTTTAGGATTTAGGCTGTTGGGCTTGGCTCGCATCGCTGTAGGTTTTAGGGCTCTGGATTTGGGTTGAGGGTTTAGGCTTTTGGGTTTGGCTTACATCACGTTAGGTCTTAGGTTTTAGGTTTTTGGGTTTCGGGTTTAGGCTTTTGGGTTTGGCTTGCATGACTTTAGGTTTCAGGGTTTAGGGCGTAGGGTTGCGAATGGCTTCACATCAATCCTTGTGGCACCAAGGCCGCACCATCGCTTCAGCTGGTGGTGGAATCTTGCGGGCGAATACAAGTCATACAGTTATTGGTTTGACGATTTCAGTGTGGGCTGTTGAGCGCGTATTCACTCCAGGCCTGTGTTGAGCGCGTATTCACTCCAGGCCTGCAACTACTAACGGTGGCAACTGAAGCATGCCGGTCCCCCACACAGCCACACCAGTCAGTGAATTGTTAAGGATTTGAAGAGCAGGGCGATAATTCACTTAGACTTCTGCATGCATCAGATTACCATGCAACCGATTCGAAACGCCTCTGTCCACTTGCGTTGGCTTTTGACCATTAGAGCCCTCAAGGCGCTTGGTGAGAAGCACTAAGAGCTGGTCTCAATGAGCACCACGCGGGTGCAATGATTCACAGCAATTGTTGTGTTTTCTTTGCAGGCAAAGGAACTGGTAGCAATCTGCTTGTCGGAAAACGCCTTGACCCTGCGGAACTGTTGAGGTCTGCTGCGTTCGCCTCCGAAGCCAAGGAGCTCCAGCACAGCTGACGGCTTCGGCGTAGTGAGGCGAACAGAAGCAACGGCGTAGGTGCTGCAATCTGTTTGGCCTAACGCATTGAAAACACGTCATTCCAAAGCAACGGAGTTCCACACCACGGCCAATGCAAAACGTCGACTCAAGTCGACCTGGCTGGAATCCTGGGATGCCCGAGCCTGGTTGGAACCGAGGGGCGTAGTGGAGGCCTCAGCTTTAGCATTTTTCAAGTTGGGAAGCAAAACGCTGGACGAGGGCTGGGCCACATGATTCAAAAGCAGCTCCTTGGTCTCTTGGAAGATCTCCTAAGATGACTTGCGGCACTGCATCTGTTACTAGGAACAAATGGCATATCGTTCAAGCAATCCTTGGGCTGCTTTGTTTGGCTTGTCTAATAGCTTCAGTGTGGCACAGGACGTAGCCCGACCTCAATATGGAGGGCCAAGGTCTTGAATTGGCTGCTTCTGCCAAGGCTCAAATTGACACGCTGCAGGCACATACTCCAGAGCCCTAACGGCCCATTCATTCCGTGTCACGTGACGTGCTCAGTTGTGACCAACATCTCCATGCACCAACTGTTTCATTTCAAGCAATAGGATGTCCAACGGGCTCATGGTGAGAGTTCTGGAATGCAAAACTCTCATGCTGCCAAGCCGTGGCTTGGGCCCAACCGAGATGCCGCGGGTGCCGCAAGGTTCATTGGTGCATGTGATTGGCAACACGCGCGGCAAGTGCGCCAGATGAGGGCAACTGCATGCAAAGATCACGCGCCATTTGCTGCAACTGGAGGATTTAAGTCACATCTCATGAAAACAAAAAGGGTGAACAGATCGTAGGTGAACAAATCGCAAGGCCCCCCAGAGAGGAAAAAAGAAAACGACAGAAACGGACAGAAACCGACAGAAACCGACAAAAAACATCAACCAGCTACAGCACCCAATAATGTGCTACCAGTGATACTGTTGAAAATTAGACATTAACCGCCACAAAACAGTAACCAACAAACAACAACAAGCAACAAACTAACAACAAACAACACAAACACAACACGAGCAACAACGCAACAACCAACACAATACAATGACAATAACGGACAACCAAACTTACACAGACACAGACAAAACACAACCAACCAACAATATCAAACAAACAGCAGTAAATTAAACGTAAATATATATCAACAAACAAGGTACAACAAAGACATACTTCTACTACTACTACTACTATTACTACTACTACTACTACTACTACTACTACTACTACTACTACTACTACTACTACTACTACTACTACTACTACTACGACTACTACGACTAGTAGTACTACTGCTACTACTACTACTACTACTACTGCTGCAATTACTACAATTATTCCTAAACTACTACCAAGGCGCACAGCACCGCAATGTGTACCATGAAGTCAGACATCATACAGGCAAAGTCTGATTCGCGTATCCCTGATTGCTGCTGTTCCTGGAGTCTTTCCTGTTACTGCTGTTGTTCGCTTATCCCTGACAAGTCTTTCCTGTCGAGCCAGGTCACTGCTACTAGCCAAGACAATGCTGCATATTGCACATGACATGTAATATCAAATCAACACTTGACAATTCAACGCAAGGCTGACAATCCGGCACAGACAGACTGACAAGCATGCAGCAAGCTTGGACACCAATCTAATAAAATACATCAGCTTTGTCACAGGCCTGACGCCCCTCGCTGACAAAAGGTTCATTGTTGCCAAAACAATCAATTGCTTGAAATCTTCATTTCACTGGCCAAATAAAAAGGGCACAGTCAGTGACATTGGCTGGCAAGAGACTGAGGCACATAGAAAAGTTTTAAATATGAAAAGCTCCACTCGAGCTACTGATCCGGCAAAATTACGGTCAGATCGTCATCAATTTTAGTCTCCGCAGGGCTAATAAATCATATGTTACCATCAGATTGTCAGTATTATTTAAAATCGTCTCTGCGCACGGTCAGATTGTCAGGCAAATTTTGTCTCCGTAATGTTACGGTCAGATTGTCAGGCAAAATGCGTTTCCGCATAATTTTTACGGCTAGCGTAGACTGTCAGGTCTCCGGTCCGGAGACTAAATTTGATGATGATCCGACCGTAAATTCTGCGGAGACTAAAATTGATTGCAACCTGACCGTAGTTCTGCGGAGACTAAAGTTGCCTGACAATAAATCACACTATGAGAACCGTAAAGTTCTGTGGAGACTGGCTAGACTAAATTTGCCTGACAATCTGAACATAATACATACTTGCAGTGTCAGCAAGTTACACAAACAGCATACACTCGTACACACGCACATACATACATACATACGTACATACATACATGCATGCATGCATGCATGCATGCATGCATACATACATACATACATACATTCCATACATACATACATACATACATACATACATACATACATACATACACACACATACATACATTCCATACATACATACATACATACATACATACATACATACATACATACATACATACATACATACATACATACATACATTACACGCACGCATACATACATACAGACATTACGTTAATTACACACATACACACATACATACATACATACATACATACATACATACATACATACATACCTACATACACACATACACAACATACAACATTACATTACATTACCTTACGTTACGTTACGTTACACTTCGTTACATAACATAACATAGCATAGCATTACATTACATTACACTACATTACATTACATTACACTATATTACACTACATACATTACATACATTACATACATTACATACATTACATACATTACATTACATTACATTACATACCTTACATACATACATACATGTCAAGAGACGGCAAGGTGACGTCCCGTGGGACGCTATGCACCGAACCCTCAAGCTGTAATACCAACCACGTAGAAAGGTGTATACGGACGATGCCGA